AAAGGCCGGTTGCAGCATAACCAAACATCCAAACAAAGAAACTGACTAAGTCAGGAGGATACCTTAGTGAGACAGGTAACGAAACACACGGTATCCGGATGTATTGAGGTTGAAGGTTGTTTGCACAAGCAAGCAGTCGGTATCAGGAGCTCTCTCTTTTTCTCTCAAGGAATCTCTCTAAAAAATGGCAAAGTGAAGAATGAAGGGAAGAAGATCCCTACTTATAGGAAATCTCAGAAGGCGAGCCGTCGCCTTCTCTTCCCCCTTAGTTTAAAATTTGAAAAATAGAGGGAAGGAGGTGAACCGTTGCCCTCCTGCCTGTTGACACGTCTCACAGGCGCCGCGGGGCATAGTCACGTCAGCCCCTGTGAGGGGTAAATGTTTAGGGTAAAAATTACCCTAGACACATGGCCCAATGAGGGCCTGACATGTGTCACCTCCCTATAGCACCATGGGCATCCAACCAGAGGGTGCCACGTGGCATTGTACCCCCAATAGGGGAGCAGATCTTCATCTGCTATAAATAGAGGAATCATCCTCATTTATTGGTATTCATAAATATCGACACCAAACCCGAGCAATATTAATTGCGGAATCTCCCGGAATCCGAGAGAGATACCCGTTTACTTCCCGCACGTAATCTTATCCGGAATCATACTAACTTGATCTTTGGAGGCGGAACTCCACCCAACCGGAGTTTTATGGTTTTGCAGGTACAGAAGTCAAGCGTGCATTCCCGGTGCTGTAACTCTCCCGCAGGACTCCTCAGAAAACCCCAAAACACAAGGTTAGATGATCTACTTGATGAGCTACATGGTTCAAAAATATTTTCTAAAGTTGAACTCATGAGTGGTTATCATCAAATTTGTATGAGAGAATGGGATGAATGGAAAACTGCATTCAAGACTAAGTTAGGGTTGTATGAATGGTTGGTGATGCCTTTTAGCCTTACTAATGCTCCTAGTACTTTCATGAGGTTGATGCATGAAGTTCTCAAACCTTTCCTTGGTAAGTGTGTTGTGGTTTACTTAGATGATATTCTGATTTACTCTAAAAATATGCATGATCATCTTAACCATCTAAGAAGTGTGTTTGAAGTTCTAAGAAAGCAAAGGTTATATGCAAAGCTAGAAAAATGCTACTTTCTTGTACCAAGTGTGAATTTTCTAGGGTACATAGTATCAAAAGATGGTGTTTCTGTTGATCCATCTAAGGTAGAAGCAATTGAATCATGGTCGGTTCCTAAGAATGCTTCGGAGGTACGTTCTTTACACAGTTTAACTTCAATCTATAGAAGATTTGTGAAAAACCTTTCTAGTATTATTGCACCTATGACTGAATGTTTGTAGAAAGAAAGAATTAAATTTGAGTGGAGTAAAGAGGCGCAACATGCCTTTGATGTAATCAAGGAGAAATTGTGTGAAGCTCCTATTTTAGCTTTACCTAACCTTGCTAGTCCATTTCAGGTGGAAACTGATGCAAGTGGAGTAGGAATTGGTGCGGTTCTAATACAAAGGAAGAGACATATTGCTTACTTTAGTGAAAAATTGAATGGTGCTCGTTTGAATTACTCTACTTATGACAAAGAATTCTATGCGATTGTCCGTGCTTTAGATCATTGGAGTCATTATTTGCGTCCTAATAATTTTGTGCTTCATTCGGATCGTGAGTCTTTAAAGTACATACATGGACAACAAAAATTGAATCCGAGACATTCTAAGTGGGTGGAACTTCTACAATCATTTAATTTTTCTTCTAAGTACAAAGAGGGGAAGGCTAATATTGTTGCAGATGCATTGTCAAGAAGGTATTCTTTACTTGGTGTTTTGAATTTTCGATTACTTGGTTTTGATTTGATTAAAGAGTATTATGCAAGTGATGAAGATTTTGCACCTATACTTGAGAATTGTGCAAAGGAGGCCGTAGGTTCCTATGTGACTCAAGATGGGTTGCTTTTCAAGGGGAATCGATTGTGTGTTCCCAGGTGTTCTATTCGTTAGTTTATTGTGAGAGAAGCTCATGGTGGAGGAATTGCAGGGCCTTTTGGTATCAATAAAACTCTTAGTATTCTATAAGAGCATTTTTATTGGCCTAAGATGCAAGGGGATATTCAATCTGTGATTGCAAGGTGTGATTCATGTCAAAAGGCAAAGAGTGTGTTCCATCAAAATCTTTACACTCCTTTATCTATTCTTAATTTTCCTCGGGAGGATGTCTCCATGGATTTTATAGTTGGATTGCCTCGAACTCAAAGAGGTAAAGAAGATATCATGGTGGTAGTTGATAGATTCTCTAAAATGGCTCATTTTGTTGCTTGTCACAAACCTGATGATGCATTGCATATAGCTGATCTTTATTTTAGAGACATTGTTTGGTTGCATGGTATGCCTATAACAATTATGAGTGATAGGGATGTTAAGTTCACGAGTTTCTTTTGGAAGTTAGTTGGAACTAAGCTTTTATTTAACACTTCTTATCATCCTCAAACGGATGGGCAAGCAGAAGTTACTAATCGAACTTTGGGAGTATTGTTGCGTAAATTGGTAAGTAAAACTCAAAAGGATTGGGATGTTAAACTTGCTCATGTTGAGTTTGCTTATAATCGTTCTCCTACTTATGCTACTAATCATTCACCTTTTGAGATTGTGTATGGTACGAATCCAAGGCTACCTTTGGATTTAATTCCTTTTCCTAAGGGCGAATTGGTGAATCATGATGCTAAGACCAAAGTTCAAGTGATGCAAAAGTTACATGCTCAAGTTCGTGCTTGAACAAAGAGAGAGCAAATTGACATAGAAAACCACAAAACTTTAAGGTTAGGGATTTGGTGTGGTTGCATATAAGGAAAGAAAGGTTTCCAAGAAAGAGAAAGAATAAGCTCGTGCCTCGAAGTGAAGGGCCTTTCAAGATTATTGAGAAAGTGAATGATAATGCTTTCAAGCTCAATCTTCCCGGTGACTATGGTGTAAGTGCTATATTTAATGTAGGAGATTTGGCTCGTTATGTTCCCGCTGATGAACTTCGAGATTTGAGGACAAATTCTTTTGAAAAAGAGGAGGATGATCCAGATATTGATGAGAACTTTGAGAGTTTGATAAATCTTTACAAGGATAACCTAAACTTGAGCATTAACTCATTAAAAGCTACAAATTGGCGATTTTTGGACGGTTCAAGCAAAGGAACTTGGTGTCTAGTACAAGCTCAAGTTCCGGATCACTCTATTTACTCTACTTAGTGGTTTTTAATTAGTTTTTGCTTGCAACTTTTTACCTTTCACTTGAAAGGGTTTTTCTTAGTTTAAGCACTTAGGATTAATTTTATTTTATTTAGGAATTATAGATTAAGTAGAATTAGAATTAGTTTCCTAATCTAAGTAGAATTATTTATCCTATTCTATTTAGGTTACTTGGGGCTAAAGGATAGGGACTTGTCCTACTCCTATTAGACTTAGAATATGTTAGTTTTTAGTCTATAAATAGTTGTAATTTCATAACTTTTAGATATAGAATTTTTCAGATTATTGAATTGAAGTATTTGTTTGTTTTTCAACCAAAACATTCGTTTCTTAACGTTGGTGATTAAGTTCTTTAAGCTTTGTTTAAGTTGATTAATTAAGGGGTGGCGTGACCTTTAACTTACTTAATCTACTTGTCCTGTTTAATTCTTGCCGGTGGACGAATCCTATAGAGAATTAGGCTTGAATTATCCTTGTGTGTGTTTAAACCTCCTAAGCATACGCATCACCACTCCTCACTTATAAGATCAGAGTTCTATCTATCCTGCTATAGACTCTATCATAGCCACTCTACTTATTGTTCCAAGTGTACTCAGCCCCCACTCTATTCAAATCATCCAAACCACAATACTGCACACACTCTCTAAAATTAGAGACTTCACCATGAGTTACAGGCCTCTTAAGCCTATCTTTAAAATTTAAAGGGCAATTAGGGTCCCTAGAAATCAACCATGGACCTTTACATCTATCATGTATTTCTTTTAAACAATCCCATAATTCTTCCCTTTCTGCGGCATCGTTAGAACCATATGCTACTGACAAATTAAACAACTCATTCCCAGAAAGCATTCTGACATGAAAATGCATAATTTACCTAGTAACCTTTCTAATATCCATCTGAAAGAACCCAGGTAACCAAGCAACCAATATATACCACCCTTACCACAAGTAAAATTAGTAGCAATACACCAACCCCGAAACATACAATTCCGCACCATAGGAAAATTACTGTTCTTTATCTTTAATTTTTCTCAACCAAACAACACAAACCCACTTTATTCTGCAAAATAGAAAAAAATTAAATTTCCTTTTGCTTATCTGGGCTATTTGAGCTCCTTACATTCCAGACAAGGACATTATCCATGATCAGAGGTGATATCCACTCCCTTTCCAGGAGCAGCACCATCTCTAGAGGTGGGCACTGTGCCGAGCCGGGCCACCGCGGGCCGTGCATGGTGGTGGCTCGTGCGGGGCTGTGCTATGCCTGCCACTTCGCGGGTCGTGCCGTGCCGGGCCACCATCTGGCACACCCCAGCCCACGGCACGGCACGACCCACGTACCTTGCGTGTCGTGCCGTGCCAAGCAGCGGGCCGCCCCAAATTATAATTTTTATTTTAAATTGATATATATTTTTTTTGAACAACTTTTAAAATGAGTGTATTTAAATAATTTTATTAATTTATGTTTATGTTTTTGTATTATTATATTATTATTGTTCTTTTTATTATTATAGTTCTTTTACTCTTTATTATTTATGTTATTTTTATTATTAATTTATTATAATTAATTTAATTTTTATTATTATTATTATACGTATTTATTATTATTTAGCAAAAAGCAACAATGCACATAATTAAAAAATTTACGAGTGCGATAACACAAAAATTGATGAATAACTTATTTAATTTTATTAATACGCCGGTACGATAAATCAATAATACAATAATTTATAATGATAAAAATCGTACAATAGTTGATGAATAACTTAACTTTATAGCTTATTTTATACAAAAATTAGCTATAATTAATAATATGTAATAATCTAATTTTCTTCTTGTTCTTCTTCGTGTTTGTCTTCTTCTTCTTCTTCTTGTCCAAGTTCATCGGCCGATTGAATTGATTGAGAACTAGTAGAACTCGATGTTCCTTCATCGTTGTCGTTTTCTGCATAAGTACGTTCTTGGCAACGAGTTTCGGCATCCAATCAATCCTTGAAACAACCACACATTTCAAGTGTTTCGGATTTTAGTCTCGGTCTTCTATCGTCTAAAACCCTCCCTGATGCACTAAAAGCTCGTTCGGAGGCAACGGAGGAGACTTGGATAGCATAAATATTTCGTTCCATTGCCGCCAAAATTGGATGCTTCGAGCTTTGTGATCTCGACCATTCAAGGATGTCGAGGTCATACTTCTCTTCGTCATCCATGCCTTTCATGAAGTCGTAACTTAAGTACATTTGCAACTCCGAAACATCTCTTTGTGTTCTCCTAGATGATGATTCACTACCTGAAAACTTAGACATCATGTTAGCAGTTTGTGCAAATAAACCTTTGGCCCTTTTACTTACATTTTTGGATGATTGAGAAGGAGAAAATCGAGTCACAGTTCCATATTTAGATTCATAAACTCTATATAAGGAAAAAAATTGATTGGTTACATTTGTTTTATAAGATTCAACATCATCTTCAAAATTCATGCATTGAAAATAATATCAATTAATAAAAATGTGCCATCATATTTTTGCCTTGGATCTAATATAGAAGCAAAAATATAAATCATAGGAAGAGTAGTGTAATATTTATGCCATTTTTCCTCCATAGATGGAAGATATCCATCGTAATCGTGTTGTGATTGGTATTCAGCGAAAAGTTGTGCAAGTAAACATGCATTGCTAAGAAAAGAATGAGCACAAGGATTATAAACAGAAGAAAAACAATGTGTCATGCTATATAATAACTGTAAAAACTACATATATTTTTCAAAATTAGACCAATCATCATCTAGTAAAGCAAATTGTGGAAATTTTTTATTATAAAAAATTGTTAATGGACCCTTGTACTTAATTGCCCTACTCAACATTTCATAGGTGGAATTCCATCTAGTTGCACAATCCGTTGATATTTTAATAGCCTTTATCCTTTGTTGCCTGCAAAAAGCTTTCCATTCCTGAAATTCATGTTAGTGCTGTTAATAGACATAATACCATTTCTAATTTTGTGATAAAATGGACCAATTGCTTGTGTTCCATCCTTCACACACAAGTTAAGAACATGACAAATGCATCTAATATGAAGTGCATCTCCATCTAATATTACATCGGTCAATTGTGCTTTAACTAAATTTGTACAAAATGTCATAGAAGTTGCATTATCAAAAGTCATACACATGATTTTAGGCTTAAGATTATATGCATCAATAGCTTGCATTAAATGATGAGCAATATTAAGACCGGTGTGGGGGTATTCAAGCATTTTAAAATGGATAATGCATTTTTGTAATAACCAATCAGTATCCAACCAATGACAAGTTACACACAAATAGTGATATCCGTAGCCACTATCCCATGCATCAGCAGTCAAAGAAACTCTACAAGTAAGATTACTTAATTCATCATATAACTTCAATTTGTACTCTAGAAAAGATTTCATGGCAGCCGAACGGACAATTTTTCTAGAGATTTTTTTGTGTTGGGGTTGTAGTGCCCGGTTAATGTAATTGTTAAAGGGATCATTTTTGGCAAAAAGAAAAGGTTGTTCGGCATGTACTAACATTCTCCCAAGTTCATCTCTATCTCTCTCATAATTGTAAGTGAAGCCTTTTGGATGGAATTGAGAAATTTTAGGTTGAGTTGGATCATTAGATGGACCACCACATATTTTTACATGTCTACTAAGGTTTGGGATTGGCCGAGTAAATATTTTTACCTGTCTTACACTTGGCTTTGGTTCCATCTCTAATTAATTGAAAATATCCCCAAGCATTACTCTTTCGATTGCTATTGACAAGTTCATCTTCGGTACACCATTCTAATGTGCTTGGAATTTCGGTGGATTGTTCACTTGACCCAGTGACATTTGTTTGGCTACCTTGGGTAGTTTGATAAGAAATTCATGTTGTGAGCCATATAAATGAGGTGATAATTGGTTTAGTTGAAATCTTGAACTAGACATATTCCAAGGAGACATATTGTTAAATTGTTTGAATCCTCCCATGGTTTGGGGATGGAAGAAGGGGGTGGAAGTGTTCGGATTGGGCATGTTAGGGGGGGCATTGAAGTGTTCGGATTTGGTGATTCCCTACTAGTACTAGTACGTTTTGACTTGGCTTTCCTAGAGGAGGAAGAAAGGTTCGGGTTTGATGCCATGATTAATAATAATAATAATAATAATAATAATAATAATAATAATAATAATATCAACAATAATAATAATACAAATAATAATAACAATAATAAATAATAATAATACAAATAAAATAACAATAACAATAATAATAACAATAACAATAATAACAACAACAATAATAATAACAATAACAATAATAATAGTGACAAGAACAATAGTTATAACAATAACAATAACAATAACAATATATCAGGCACCGTCAGGTCAAACGTCGGGTTCTCGACGGCGGCTCCTTTAGGGCAGGCGAATTTTTGGTGGTTTTCCTCTTCTAGGGTGCAGTTTCTGAGCGACTTTCAGGCTATTTTTAGGCGAATTTCAAGCGCTAGAATCTTCAGGCAGGGCTGTGGGCGACGTCTTTGTTCTCCGGTGGCTTGGGCGGTTTCTCAGGCGATGTTTCAGCGTTATTCTGCGTTCAACGACATTTAGTTTCGCGTTATTCTAGTGTCGTAATTTTTTGGTTGATGCGGTGGTAGTGGTGTCTCAACAACATCGTTCTCCGGCGTCTCAACAGCAGTGTGTTTTGCGTCAATATTTCAGTGTTCAGCGAGTGTGGTGTAACGCAGAGTTTTCTATTTTGGGTTGTGGTGATCGTCGTTCAACATTGTAGTGTGTTTTGGTGGCTTTTTCGGCATTCTGATCAGGCGTTTGGGTGCTGTTTTGAGTGCAATTTTCTGGTTTATCTAGGTGCAATTTTGAGTGCATTTTAAGTAGCTATTCTAGTCCATTTGGGTGCTTTTTTTTTAGTGTATTTTGGACTGTGCAGTTCGGGTGCTGTTTTGGTGCAGTTTATGGTGTGCTGTTTTGTGTTCTTCTCATGGCAAGTTGTGGTGGGTATTATGCCTCCTATGGTTCGATTTCATTGTTCGTTTGTAGGTCTTAATGGGTGTTAGGATGGTGGGGGTAATGGGCTGACTAAAGCTTATTTGCTCACTCATCTCTGTGACTGTCATTGTTGTGGGGATGCGCGGGATATGACCCGAAACTCTCTTATTTTTTATTTGGCTATTTTCTTAGAGGCGGAGTCAACATTTCGTCGTATGGGCATTTGGTTTTGTGGGGAGTGTTTCGAGACACATATTTTTCGTTCGAAGTGTCGACATGATCCTGGTTCTAATGATATTGTGGCCCCACTTGATTCTGGGGATGGTGTTGTTCGATTTGTTCTTTATGGTTTTCCTAAACCACAAGGTCCTTCTTCGGAGGTATCCGATCTTGTTCCTAGTGTGACTCGTCAGCCTCTTTTGGCGTTCGATGTTGCTCTCCTGGATAGTTTGCTATCTAAGCGGTTCCGTTCGGTGAAATCTATTCTTTCTAAGTGTTGCTTTGGTTTTTCTCGGGTTCTCAAAGGAGCGCTTGATAAGGTGACCTGCAAGCTTGATGACGTCTCTTGTTGAGTTCAACTTCTTGTGTTGCCTCTATGTGTTCTTAAAACCTTTTCTCCAAGGAGTAGTCGTGAGTGTTCTTCGGGTGTCAGGCGGCAGCGGCTGGAAGAGAGTATCACTGCTGCTATTCGTTCTTGGTGTGAGCCTGGTGGTTTCGTGCATCTTGTGCGGGATACGTTGGTTGATGTGTCTCCTCCTTTGTTGGATGCTGATGATGAGCATGATTTTTCTGAGCGTAATATTAAGCAATGTAAGAGAAAGATTTGTGACGGACATTACACTACTGCGGTTAGGGTTCTTTCGTCTTCTGGTCTTGCCCCTTACAATGATGCTACTCTTACTGATTTACAAGCTAAGCACCCTTCCTTTCCGGCTCCTATCTCACTGGATATCCCCGTTGATCAGCCCCTTATTGCTACACCTGCTATTGTTTTGGATCAGATTAAGGGTTTTACGCGTGGTACGTCATGCGGTAGAGACGGCTTGCGTGCTCAACACCTTATGGATTGCTTGAGTGGTGTTGTAGTTGCTATTTCGGATGAGTTGGTAGACTCTATTACGCAGGTGGTTAATCTTTTTCTCACTAGGAAATGTCCTACTAAGTTGGGAGAATACATTGCTAGTGCTTCTCTCACGCCACTTGTTAAGCCTGGTGGTAGTATTCGGCCTATTGTTGTGGGTACCGTTTAGAGGCGTTTGGTTTCAAAGGTTGGGGTTGCTTTAATTGATCCACGTCTGGGAAGCTATTTAGGAGGTCTTCAGTTTGGTGTTGGTGTGCCGGTGGGTGGTGAGGCTATTCTTCATCCTGTTAATCGTTTGGTTGAGGCTCATGGTGGTGATGTTAGCCTCTCTATGTTGCTGGTGGATTTCCAGAATGCCTTTAATTTGGTTGATCGTACGGCTTTACTGCGTGAGGTCTGTCTCCGTTGGCTAGCTCTCTCGCATTGAGTTAAATTTTTGTTACTCTTCTCCAGCCAGACTGTTATATGGGAAGCATACCTTAAGGTCATGTCAAGGAGTGCAGCAGGGTGATCCTCTTGGCCCTTTGCTTTTTGCTTTGGTGCTCCATCCGTTGGTGTGCCGAATCAGGGATTCTTTTGACTTATGTTTGTAGGCTTGGTATTTGGATGACGACACTATTATTGGTGACACCATGGTGGTAGGAAAGGTTATGGAGTTGATTTTGGTGGAGGGACCTCGTCTCAGCTTCCATGTAAATGTTGAGAAAGCGAAAATTTTTTGGCCCGCGGAAGACCCATGTAGCCGTCTGGTCGGTGTCTTTCCTTTAGATATTGCTCGTCCTGTATATGGTGTCAAGTTGCTTGGTGGTCCTGTCAGTGCGGGTTCCTCTTTCTGTGGTGAGCTTGTTTCGCAGAGACTGTCAAAGACCATTGTGCTATAGGATGCTGTTGCTAAGCTTGATGATCTCCAATGTGAGTTGTTACTTCTTCGTGCGTGTACTGGGGTTTCAAAACTCTGCTTTTCTATGCGCACTAGTCCTCCTCGTCTTTTTAAAGCGGCCTAGATTTCTTTCGATGTGGCCCTTCGAGCTTCTTTGGAGTGCATTGTAACTGCTTCGGGGCTAGGTTTTGGTGATTGGCAATGGCGACTTGCCACCTTACCTTTTTCTTATGGTGGATTGAGTGTCTATTCAGCGGGTGATGTTTGGCACTATGCTTTCCTTGCGTCGCGTTTGCAGTCTATTGGTCTTTAGGCTTCGCTTCTTCGCAATTCTAGTATTGTTGGTCTAGGATCGGCCATCGATGGTGCTCTTAGTCTTTTTAATAATACTGTGGAGACTGACCTTATGCATAACCCTAGTAAGATCGCTGCCCCCAAACTCATGAAGAAATTGGCAAATATATATTTCACGAAGGTCATTGCATCTGTAGATTCCACTTTTTCCTTATCTCCTCGTTAGGTTGCCTTATGGAAGTCCTAGTAGGGGGATCACACTTCTGCCTGGTTGCGAGCGATCCCAATATCAGGTTTGGGTCAGACTATGAATGGTAAGGCTTATCATTGTGTTCTTTGCTTCCAGTTGGGTGTTCCTTTGTTCTCCGTTTCGACACCGTGTTTTGCTTGCTCAAGGGTTTTTGATGGGGATACTTATGGGGATCATGCAGTGTCTTGTGCTAAGATGGTCGGTATTAAGCATCGCCACAACGTTGTTCGTGATACCCTTGTTGATATTTGTTTTTGCTCTGGGATTTCTGCAAGAAAAGAGGTTAATGTTGGGTTGACTGGAGGGAACCATGGGCTTTTCGACCAGTAGATGTGTTGCTTTATTCTTGGGATAAAGGCCTTGATGTATGTGTTGACATGACGGGGTCTTCTCCTTTGACACAATCTGGGTTGTCTGACTTCGTTCCTAGTCGTG